TTATTTCTGCTTTGAATTTTTCTAGAGCCTCATTCATCTGTTTTGTTACTTCCTGTGCTATCAGTTCAGTGTATCCAGGTAGTTGGTTATTGGACTTTTCCATCTCATTTCCCCCAGGATTTACCCTTGGTGGGGTGGAAGCCTGAGTTTGTGCCTTGCTTAAATGCCTTCTCATTTTCGTTTTTGGTACTGTCCTTGGTTTAATTCCTGGGTTGATAGTTTGAAATTCCTTATTGTAGGTATACTTGTTGCTTGTAATTAGAACCCTTATGGAATGATTGCTTCTCAGAGGTGTCTTCCAGATATAGCTGGCCTTTAAGTTTTGAGTCTCTGATGACTCTAAGGCTATCTCATTTTCCTTATACTAGGGAGGTTCATTGACTAGATCAATAATAACACCTTAGCCCATGTGATACAATCAGCAACACCATTGCATCAAGTACATCTTCAAAAATGACATTTTGTGGTAGTTATTAATCTATCACATTTAGCTGTGTGAATTAAATCAAAATTGAGGACCAACCCAACATATAGTGAATAAACTCTTCAATATAACAACTTTACCCTTTTGGATGGGGAGTTAGAAGGGGTTGGGGAGGGAAGGACAGATGGGAAGAAGGATAGGGGAAGTTTAGCAGTGTGGCCAGAGGACACAGGTGAGAAGGAAAAAGAGAATAATAGGAAAATAAAGAAGTACTCCAAATGAGGACCAAAACAGGGACAAAAAGTGAAGATGAACAATGTGGGAGAGCAAGAGAGTGAGGGTAAGAGAGAGAGAGAAAGGAAAGCAAAAAGAAAGAAGAAAAGAAAAAAAGAGAGAAAAACAAATATTTACAAAGAGTAGGAAAATAATTAAAGATAAGAGGAGCAAATGAAAATAAAAGAGAAAAAAACCAAACTAATAATACTAATTTTGGGAATAAAAAAAACAATGAAGATGAAGGGCCACTTTCAGGGTGTCTCTGCTGTCACAATAGACAATGTGGGTAGCAGTGTGCAGATATAAGTCAATGAGTCTCAGCAAGGTAGTCACAGACCCATGATATTCAGGCAGATTTCTGGCTGCAAGTCCCAAGTTGAACTCCCTGTCCTCCTGCAGGGTTGAACTCTGCAGAGGTGTATTGCAGGTTCCAGCTACCCTTCCCTTGAAGATAGTCCCATTCCTGATGGGAGGTGAAGATGACTCCAGCTTACCCAGTACAGTGTTCTGGTGGTCCAGTGTCCTCTGCTTCTTTGTAGTGTGGAACCAGGTGGCTGTACAGAGAAGAGGCCAGAGGAGCGGGGGTGGGGTGTCCAGTGGATTACTGCCGGGGCGTGGGCTGATTCGCTGTGTTCCAAGCATCTTGAGACCTCAGTAGGGAGTCTGCAGAACTGCCTGTCTGCAGCAGGCTGATTCCGAGTGCTCTGCGTGACTCGCGACCTTGGTAGGGCATCTGCAGACCTGCCTGCCTGCAGCGGGCTTGTAGAGTTTTTTAATCAAGGTTAGTTGGAGTCCTATATGCCTCACTTATCTGTATGTTAAGTTGTTTTCACCTGTTTGGGAAATTATCTGCCATCACTTCTGTGAACAGTTTTTTTTTTATGTCATCTGCACTCTCTCCTCTTTCTTCAGTGACTCCAATCATTCTTATGTTATTCTTCTTTGCATTGTTTAGCAACTGTTGGATTGATTCTCGTGTTTCCTTATAATTTTAAAGCAATTTGTCTTTTCTTGGTCACTAATTGCAATCTTATCATCTATATCTGAAACTCTGTCCTCACATTGGTTCATTCTGCTGTGTAGACTTTCAGTAGAATTTTAATCTCCTGGAAATCTGTTTACATCTGTTTTATGGATTCCATTTGTTTCCTATGTTGGGATTCCATCATGTTCCTCATATCCTCTATTTTTTTTTAATCTGTGTACTCTCTAGTTTTATTAATCATGTCTTGGGCTATGAGCACAATCTTTGCTGTTATCTGAGAAATTATTTCTGATTTCATTTTTCCCAGATCCTCTTTTGTTGCCAGTTCAGGGAGTCCAGGTGGTTGAGTATCAGACTCTTCCATCTCGTTTCCCTTTGTGGTTGCTGTAGGTGATCTGGAAGTCTGTTTTTGAGGCTTGTTTATGTGTCTCCTCATTTCCAAAGTGGTGGTGGGGTGCTTCTGGTGCACACGTGGCTCACCTTCTCTGCCCTGGAAGAGTGGAATGGTGGCGGGGTAGCCTCCTCCTTGGTGCTGGGACTAGCTCACTTTCTCTGCCCTTGGAGCATGGAATGGCCACTGGGGAGACTCCTCTTGGGCCTCTTTTTCCTTTTCTTATAATGTTTCCTTTCCCCTTCTCTTTCCACTTCTCCTACCCCTTTGTACCTTTTCTTTCTATTTCTAATTATCAGTTATTCATTTTAATCTTTTTAATCCTTATTTACACTTTCAGTTTCTCACTCCAGAGAAACTATTTGGTATTTACACACATGCCCTATTTATTTCACTAAAGAGGATGGCCTCAATATGCATACATTTAGCCATAAATGACTCCAATTCGTCATTCTTTATGGCTGAGTAGTACTTCATTTTATTAAAAAAGCACATTTATTTATTTATCCAGAGGCGAAACTGGTTTTAAGGTGAAGTCATAGTAATTGTGGTAGTCAGGATTGCATCACTGCAACAAACTACCTGAAACAGACACCTTCAAAGAGAAAAAGCTGTGTGTGATTCAGGGGCCTAGATGTTAGTCAGTGGCAAAGGAGAAAGGGAGAGAGGGAGAGAGAGAGAAAGAGAGAGAGAGGGAGAAAGAGAAAGAGAGAGAGAATTGTCAATATCCTCTGGAGGTGCATACTCCCAGTGTCCTAATCTCTTTCTGAATGTTCCACACTTAAAAATTTCACCACCTCTCAGTACCACCAAGGCTCATAAACAAGCTTTCAACCAAGCTTTAAGGGATACTTCGATAGCATTTCAACAGTCATTTTTGGTTTAGCCAATTATTTTTATGTGTCTATTTTTATTCTAGAGGGTAGTGCCTGGCACAGAATAGGAATTCTATGACTTCTTCTAGTAGCTGATAACTGAGCAGAGGAATTAATAACAGAAAATATATCCATTAATAATTTGGCTTAATGTAGAGCAATCAACATGTGATAGTGATTCATCAGCTAACTAGTTTAAACATTGAAGTTAACAGTAGAGTGGTAACTCTCTTAATTCTGACCACAAGATCTAATCAACTTTGTTCAAAACTTGATGCCATTGGATCATTAGGGCTTCTATATTCAGAGACCACAAGAAACCTAGAATGTGGAAGGATCTGTCCAGTCTCTGACTTTATAATTAGTAGTACTGGACACAACTTTTCAAACAGTGTCTTCATAACCAAGATAAATGGGTTGAACTGTCTACACTCAAGTATTGACATGTGGAAGTTGAAGTCTGCAGGACCTCATTTGGACAGAAGGTGTTTATAGAAGCAATTAGACTTAAATGATGCTAAAATGTTGGGTCATAGCCTAATATGAATGGTGTTTTTAAAAGAGGAAATTAGAGCACAGATACAGAGGAGAGACAGTGTGAAGACATGGAACAAGATGGCAAACTGCAAGCCAAGGAGAGAGACCTACAACATGTTCTTTCCCAGGACCCTCATAAGAGCCCAGCAATCCCAACATCACAAGCTAAGAAATTGTGTGAATTATTTCTATTCCTGAAATCACCACCTAGTCTGTATTACCTAGTTATGACAGCCCCCGAGTACAAATACAAAAGTTTTAGAAAGATTTCTGAAGAGTCAAGTAGAAATGTAAAAAATAAATTTACATCTACAGGACATGCAGTCTTAAGAATTATTCATACTCAGAAATTGAGATGCCTGAACAGAAACACTGCACATTGCAGTGATAATCTATTACATTAACCCACATGACAGATGCTGTTGACTTTGTATGAGCCAGCAGAAACAGAAATAGTGAGAAGGAAGAGATTCTGAAGGTATCAAAAGGTAGATCCAGTGTTGTGGATGATGGAGTCTATACAGGATGGGCTGAGAGAGAATGGGAGGTAAACAAGTTGCTTCTGGGCAGGTAGAAGTATAAATACAGACACCCAGGCACAGAAAGGCTCTCCATGGCCATTGGCTCTCAACTGGTCCTTCAGCTATGTCAGCTACTTCCTGCACGTCAGGTGGATGCTAGGACTTGGTAAAAGAGATGTGCTGAAGTCTTAGGCCCCATCATTAGATCTGATCTAAGTCTCTGTGTTCTGCTTTACAGGAGTCGCTGGGGACTGGAAGAATCACTTCACTGTAGCCCAAGCTGAAGCATTTGATGAAATATATCAGAAGAAGATGGCAGGCTTTCCTCCAAAGCTGTTTCCATGGGAATAATGTTGAAAATTTCTAGATGTTCTATGGATACTGATATCTGTTTTCCTGACCTTGTACTTCTGCATGCCTAGTAGATCATAGCATGAAACATTATTTCATTGTGAAGTTTTGAATGATCAAATCTTTACATTTTTGATTGCCTACTTGTTACAAATTACCTGCTTACCAGTATTCATTGCATAGTACTACACTTTAGAAATTCTTCACAATATTCACGTATTATATATACTGCACTACAATAAAATATAAAAATTACATCAAATTTATATAGAAGATAAAAAAATCTACAAGCAGGTAAGGCTGTTTATTTTCTTACTTTGTAATGTGTCACCCTAAATAATAAGTAAATTATATAAATGTCAGATAGTGCAATGTGTTGATCAATTTTCCTTTTTTTTCACTACTTTGTATTTGGTCTTTATTCATGCTGTTACATGCAGAATAACTCAGAATTGTATTGCGATGTTGGACAGGATTTAGTTCCAACTCTTCTGTGAATGAATATGAGCTCATGCCTCGCTGATTCTTTAAGAGTAGGAAAAATTTATTGAGAGAATGAAAGCTTCTGTCTAAGAGTGACAGAATGGGGACCAGAAAGTGGGTTGCCACTCACCCCACTTTTCAAGGATGTTTTTTACAGCAAAGAAATGTGGTAAGGCAGGTAGAAAGTGGGACAAAACTGTACGGCCCCATGTAAATTTACAAGGTGGGCATGAGGTGGGGTAAAACCATGACCAACCAATAAGATTACAAGTACAGTCACCCAGGTAAAGTTGATTAAATAGAGGTCAAATGGGGGAGCAAATCATGTAGCAAGTGTACAAGGATTTTCATTAAGGGTGGGTCAGGGATATTTCCCAGAAAGGCTGGGTTAAGACCTTGGCTCCCCACCCAGGTGAGTGATTCCCATTTAGAGTATCAATCACTGCTGTTTATCCTACATGGGCGTGGTAGTTCCTCTCCTTTTACAGTGCTGGCCTTCAGTGAATGTGTCTTTACTGTCCTCCATGTTGGCTCCTTGACTGTCCTCCATGTTGCCTCATCATGGGCTAGTTCTCTCTAACTGTCTACAAAATATCTAATTAACTTACCTCCTATCTATAATATTCCCCACTCTGAAGAAGTATCCCTAACTGCTGTGAGGGGGTAAAGGGTGAAGACCAGTCTGGCTACTTCTGGCTGAAGAGGTTCATAGTTGTTTTTCTTGGTACTGGGGATCAAACTCAGGACCTTGCACTTGCAAGTTAGGTGCCAGAACCGCTGAGCTAAATTCCCAGCCTAAGAGGGTCATTGTTGTGGTCAGCAGTCAGAGTTACTCTTTAGAGGGTCTATCTAAATGCCTTAGATTGTCACCAGGCAGCTTCAGTAGATGTATAGCTGTAAGTGTGGAGGAGACAAAACCAAAGAAACAGTTAAGAATACATGGACCAGGGGCTAGGAATTTAGCTAAGTGCTTCTGCCACCTGCCTCACAAGTGCAAGGTCCCGAGTTTGATCCCCAGTACCAAAAAAAAAAAAAAACAACCCCCCCCCAAAAACCAAGAACCAAATGCTCAGGTCAGCCAGACTATTATGATTATAGCCAACAAGGGTTTCCACTGGGAGGAACTAGTAACAGCCTCCCACAGAGGATAAGGAGAAGGTCCAGGGGATCCAACATTGAACTGGCATTGTATAGTTCACCAGTTCTGAGATGTTTACAAGGTCGATCTGGTAGGTCTCAGTAAAAGAATTCTAGCACATTTGTCATAGATTCTATTTGTATGACTGCTGGGTGTTTGGTAGCTTCTAGGCAAGAATAAACAGAACTTTAAAGAAATTAGAGCATGAAAAAAATCTAAGCATGTGCACACTAGAATGGAAGTGAAGGTTGGGGACAAAGTCACCCTTAGATACTGAAATAGTGAGTGATTGTAACCTGCTGGCTCTTAGATTCTTTCATTGATAAATGTTATGTATAAGCCTGATACTTTTTGATAAGTCTCTAGTTTTAGCTGTTAGAAGATAAGAGACAACTTGAAGAACAAATCTTGCTTAAATTTAAAACTCTAACTGAGCTCTTATAGATTTTACCATAGTTTTTCCCTAATGATCCATGGTTATTGATCAGCTACTGGTAGAATTGGAAACTGTCAGAAGTGGTCAGTGACTGGAGCCCCTTTCTATATGTAGCTTTGTTACTATGACATTATTTTATACCTCTTTTGGTTATTGTTTTCTGCTGGGTGTTTAAGACCAAGTTAAAGTGAGATTTGTGTCAATCAATATGAACCTTTTACAGTCTATCAAGGTCAGTTAAGTCTTTTCAGGGATTATTTTGGAACCATCCATAGGGCCTCTCATCTCCTCTGTCAGTGTCAGCCATCAGGATGTGTCATGGCCTTGTTTGACCATGTTGCTTTCAGTGAAAGGTGGGAGACTTTTCCCTCTTCCTGACTTTCCTTTCGCACATGGTACATTTGTCCTCTGGTGCCCAGAAAACACCCTGCTCAGGAGGTTGAGTGACTCATCAAAGATGTAGGATGCTGTAGAAAAGGTTCCCTTATGTCCTGGATTCCTTGTTGACCTTGAAGGACCAGGGCCAAAATATTGGCTGTCGTCATAGCCCAGTTACCTTTCTAGTTTTGTTCTCCAAACTTTAGTTGTTGAACACCCAGAAGAGAAGATCAGTGCCATTAGTAGTGCAGTAGGAGCAGTGAGCTTAGCTAATATAATTTTGTCTGGACATTAAGCACATTGAAGTATAAGACACAGTTATAGGGGCTGTTATTTCTTATCACTCATGCTTGTACTAGTAGTTGAATCCCTGTAGAATACTGACAGACAATAGTTATATATTATAGAGAAACTTAAGACCAAGAGCCCCATATAATATTTTAGTGTGACAATCATGATGACATTATACTTATTACACTTATATGTCCATCTAAATATGGAATAATCTTTCAGCCAAGCACCTCTGTCTGGTCACAAGACATTAAATGACAGAAAGAAAATTCTTATTTAATTCTTGTTATCCTTTAGTTGCATGCCACCAAAAGAGAACATACATATTGGCATATAAATGTACCTTAGTAGTTCATAATGTCTAGCCCTTAATTTTTAGTGTGTGACATTGTTTGTACTGTTTGGCCTCTGAGCATCCCTAAGCGCAGCCACATATAACATGTACATCACATAACTTTTTAAGAAAACTATTATTTGGTTGGTTATCTCATGTTGGCTTGATATGTACCTCTTATCACAAGTAGCTGGAGCACAAGAGAAAGGCAGATACCTGAGTTAAAAAAGATCATTAGTATAAACGATATCTTAGAAGACCTGTCCACGCATGCTATTTAGGGCACCATGAAATAACAGTGAGTATCAGTTACATGAAACCTTCTATCCCTTAATTTTGTTTTGTACCAAGGACATTTTAAATAAAACCTTATTGTTTTCCCACAGAAAACAGCTGTTTGACCATGACCAGTGCATACATATCGCAATAATGATATGTTTAGCAATGTATGCCCCACAAGGCTGTGGAAAGTAATGGGGTCCCCTTTGCGAACAAAGGCTGGAATAAATTTTTTCCAGGCAGCCACTCCTTTATTTATGAAGGGGAGTCCTGTCCAGTAATTTTCCTAAGACCAAGATTTTTTTTAAATTATCTAAACAAATTTTTAGATGACCTATGAGTACCAGATTATAACAAGTATTAAGACATTATTTTGACCAGTGAAAGATTCCCAAGATATTATATAGACAACAATATGTACAGTATGCAAAAAACCAATTGACATTATTGGATAATCTGGCAACCTGGGGGAAGCATGTCTTTAATTACATTTATTTCTAAGCCAAATTGAGTTACAGGGAAACATCTTAAAAAGTCCAAAATGCCAAAAAAGCTCAAACAAAACATCTGTAGATGTTGTAACAAATTGAACAGACAGACAGACACACACACACGCACACACACACACAAACACACTAGACAACTTGTTTATAAACTAGAGTCCACTCAGATGTCTTTGGCCAAGTCATATTGTAATAACTTTTATAATTTTTAGATTTATAATTATAAAGAAAGACTAGTCAGAACTTTGTGGATCAATTACCAGAGATCTCTTGTAATATGAATCAAAAGGAATAAAAATCTTCTACTTCTTTTAAAGCAAAACTGGTTTTAAGATGGGCCCTAAGCTGACAGTTTATCTGACTGGAATACCCAGCTACACAGGCTTCTCATGGTTGCTTTTATAGCCACAGCTGTTTGATGGCCACAAGTAATTGTTCCCTCTAAAGGGACAAACTGTGAATGGTAATTTTAACTATCTCCAGTGGGGGTGCACTCAGGCCAGGTTTGGGTATAGAAAGAAACTAGGTGACACTCTTTGGAGCTAAGTGTGAATTTCAAACAGGGAGGGAAGAAGGCCTGCCAAGGCTCCAACCTGCTGTGCTGCAGATGTCTACCTATGACAGCTTTTTTCCATTGTGAAAAGAGACAAAGGGAAAGAAGGTATCCCTGTCTATCCGTCTTGTTCTGTGCCCAATCTAATGTGCCCCTTAGACTTTATCTTGTCCAGTGGTGGCAGACTAGAGGTGCAAGGAAGTCCAGGGCTGGGTTAGCTGTTCTTATCATTCTTTAATTTTACCTGAGGGCTGAAAGACATAAATCTGGACTAAAACTTTTAGATTTATTTTTTGAGAGTTTCAGAATTAAAGCTAGGCCAGTTTTCTATATGGCCCCGAGATAAGTGAAGGTCAGCTTTACCCTGGAAGGGTTCCAGGGAAGGGAAATTCACCATTCTGGAAGCTTTGTCTCAAAATCCAGCAGCCACAGAGGACAGAAGTGCCTTTAACTAAACACTATTGAGAACTGCGTTATTTCTCAGGGGCAGGGCAGTGGAGAAGGGACAGAAGAGTGCCTTAAAGTATGGCACAAGGACTAAATCTTAACCATCTCAGGTGTAGAAGGACAATTAAGATCAGGAGCTTTTCCAGAGTGGATCTGAAATCCTTAGCAAAACATCTCTCTAGAGACAAAAGCTGATTGACTCTAACTGCATTGCCAAGTGCAAAATCAAACCAATAATCAAAGAACCCAAATGGCTATTTTTGGCTCTTGAAAGAGGATGAAAGTGTTCCAACTATACTGTTTAAGGATTATCTTTTTAAATCAATTATTTTGAATCTATAATATCTAATTTATGACTTAAATACCCTAAGTCTGTTGAGCAGCTCCCTGATCTTGTATAAACATCCCCCAAA